GGGGGGGGGGGGGGGGGGGGCTAGCCACGGGAACCAGTGATTCCCAAGCTAGAGAGAATCCTTTTGTGAATTTATTTCAGCTCCTTCCAAGGATGTCAAAAGAGGATCCATTAACTCAGAAGGGCAGGGAGATGGAGCCAAGGGTTTAAACTCGGGAGCTTAGATAGAAACGTTTTGCAACTTCTTTGCCCTGTGGTGGGCAACCAACTCCTGTGTTGGAGGCTTTATTCTTGTCTGCAATAAAGATTCAAATCTAGCTAGTGGTGCTGGCTGGAATTCTTCCACCAAATACGCAAAGTGCAGAATTGAGTTTAGCTGTTAGAGAATTGAGATTTATTGTCAAGCCATGGTGTGAAATCTGAACTCTGTCAAGCATATTGCGCCCATCTCCGAGTCATGTTTTTTTAGACTATATTGCCGAAGAGACCAATGGAGGAAGTGATGAAGAGACTTGTGATGCCCTAAAGACGGCTCAATTTACAATAAACTCCTAACGGGGCCCGCTCATGCTCCCATAAATTGGTTTAGAAGAAGAGGTTCATTTTTTAGGGTCCTTGAACCATGGCTATGATGTCACCCTATCCAGACAGGGTTTGGGTCACCGCAGCAATGGCTGGGTGGTGTTAGAAATGGTCTGAGTGGAAGCAGACAGTCAAACATCTCATTAAGCAGGAGCAAGGAACTCATGGTGGGGAGGGGGAATTCCCCCTTGCCTCAAACTATGGTCATTGACACACCGAGGATTTCTACCCACATCTAGCCACCATCCTACAGCATTCGGATTTTCTGGTGAGAAGTTGCTCAACGCCCCCTTGATTTCCTTTCCTTTGGAAAACTTCGCACCAGAGACCAGATCTTATCGACCTGCTTTGGAAAGTGAGGTCTGCCAGTCACTCCTCCATCCTTCTCAGCTCTCCTTTTCCTCCGCAGGAGAATGTTCCCCACTTTCCAGGTGAAAATTTTTGGAATGGACCCTCTGGCGGACTACATGCTCCTAATGGACTTCGTCCCGGTGGACGACAAACGCTATCGGCAAGTATTGACCCTCCCTTGGACATCTTCCAGGGCAGGGGAGAGCTTCCCCAGGGCGACCACATGCACTGAATGGAGCCTACTTCCGAGTAGGTGGCTGAGTGCCTTGCAATGAGATCGAGGGGGGATGAAAATCACGCTCCAGCTGTATCCCAGGACTGTCCCCTTCTTGCTAATGCTGGAGGTGCAAGTTCCCCACCATGGCAGAATATTCCTTGCAGCATTCAGCCTTGTTCTCACAGCCTTGTCTCCCCCCCCCCCATTGTTTTCATCTATTCTAGCAATTGGGGAGGGGAGTGAAAATCAACCTGTCTGAAATAAGGGGGAGATTCGGTTCTAGCGGACAGCCTTGGAGGGGCGTGGGAAGGGTTGATGAAGCCTATGCTTTGAAGGGTGGGGGCTTCACTGGGTGGTTTTCCTCCCCCAGTGGCCTCTCTCCCCCTTCTCCCCCCCCCCCTCCCCATCCCACTACTCCTCT